TCGTTCCTTATCATCCAAATGCAAAACAACATTGTTGACGTTACTCTTATTGCTATATGCTGTCAAATGAATTTCATGGGCCATAGTTAGGAACATAGAAAAGAAATGTGTCCCTAAAGTTGGGTCCATGTTTTACTTGTGAAAACGTTGTTAAACAATTAAAATAAACATAAAATATTCAAACAGCAACTGTAAGTTTTACGTCTAGTGTGTATTATCAGGTAATTCCAATCAATAAATGCCATAATCAGGCCATTTGATGATCGTCAGTCAACCTTCCCATCTTAACCTTATAAGTCATGGCGGCTAAAAACTCCGAACATTGTGATATTCTCAACCAGTTTTATTACTTACGAGAGCTGAAAATGTATTGAAATGTTGTGATATAAATTGATTTGTGTGTGGTACACATTTATCAACCATCAGTGATCAATATTTTCCTTATTTTTTGTGTAATATTCCTTAATTAATTATTTATTTGCGTGATAGGCCGAATGAAAGGACTAGACCCACATTACATACCGTAACCCTATATAGAGAGGATCTCACGAGAAATAGATGTTCGACGAAATATACATAAAGATGGACATTGGGCAGCTTCCCGGACAAAAGTTTTATGTGGCCATGGCTCTAGGAGATGTCCCCAACAAATTGAAATTCGATTTTGCTGATAAATTCGCTAGAAAATTTCTGATTTGGTAAGCGATTTGCAGCTTCGGACAAGAAACTCAAGTTACAAATGAGTCTATTAGCTCGAAGCTCTACCCAACTAAGGCTCGAAGGAACCCAACTAACAATTTTCACAATGTAAACGCTTTACTCATTTCATTTATGCAGCCTCAAGCTGTATTCAAACGTTATACGATATGAGGAAACCTTTACTGAACATCTATACAAGCAAATCTGGCGAACTTAATCAGCTACTACTTATGGCTGTTGGGACGGTAGTGGCCGTTTAGTTATGTGAGGAGTTGAAAGGCACTTACTCAACCTTTTCCCGCTTATCCAATAATCACTACGCAGCTTTCTCTTGAAGTCGGGTTAAATATTGTTTACGCTATTTTTTTGTTGGGGAATTTATTGAGTTTATTTTGCTGTGAATCAAATTAATCGAAATTAGTTTCAAGCACATCACCAAATTATTTTCACCTTTGCAATGGTCCCATCTCATTGCTCGATTCCAGGCAATGAGATGGCTGACTCACTTGCTAAGGTGGGCGCTATGCAAGGCGATATTTACGATCGACAAATCGCCTACAATGAATTTTTCTTCATTTATCGTCAACAGTCGCTCGCCAGCTGGCAAAATAAATGGAGTGAAGGGAGTTTGGGACGAAGGCTATTCTCGATCATCCCTAAGGTGTCGAAGAGTCCTTGGTTCAAGGGGTTGGATGTGGGTCGAGACTTCATTCGTCTGATGTCTCGCCTCATGTCCAATCACTATTCGTTAAACGCTCACTTGTTTCGTGTTGGGCTGGGGGACAGCAATCTCTGTGAATGTGGACAAGGCTACCAAGACGCCGATCACATCCTTTGGTCTTGTGCTGAGCATCGTGGAGTCAGATCTGAGCTGTGCGATTCCCTTCGGGCTCGAGGTAGACAACCTAATGTTCCAGTTCGGGATATTTTGGCTAGACGCGATCTGGAGTTTATGAAACTCATATATGTTTACTTTAAGAATACTAACCCTAGATTGTAAGCTTGATTAACCTTGTGTTTAGTTTGTGTATTGTGCGTGTAGTTTTTTTTTAATGTTTGTTTTCAAGATGAATAGAAATAAGTTCATGTTTTAGGATTAATTAAATATTTGTATAATAAATCATATTTCAAACCTCCTTCTCCCTTTCCCCATCCAAAAAATTGTAAATCTCCACTAACCTCGAGACGACCGCGAGTAATCGGTTCAATTCATTTAACTCTAGATTTAAGACATTATTCATGTATAATGCAAATGATAACTCGGCTCTGTAAAGTTTATTCGATTGAGCCTGTACAAATAAATTAATATATTTAAAAAAAAAAAAGCATCACCAAATTATTTACCCTGCACCGAAACCTGGAATCGAACTCAAGACAACCGCATTGGCAAACCTTGATACTACCAACTGTGCTACGCCAACACTTTGAACTGATATAAAGAAAATCAATATGCCCTTCTACAACAAAATCGCTGAGTAGCGGCTTTATAATAGTGCACGTGATTCACTTTTCTCGACTAGTTAGTTCAGCTTTGTAAAGGAGCATAGTAAAAGCTGTAAAACTGCACACGTCTAAAAATAAACCTAGCTGATTGTAAAAATGCCTTCAAAGTAGCACTAACACTGTTTTTTAGCTGAGTACAGGTTGTTTAGTTGTTATAAAAACACTTTTGATGTTTATGTTATTCAGCAAGAGTGGTTCGTTGTGTCGAAGCCATCAAATGAGTAACATATTTACTTTATTAACTTTGTTTTGCAGCTACAAGTTGAAAGTTAATTAACATGTATATATAAAAATGACATTATTGGCTGTTTTTATTCAGTGCGAATGACAAATTGAATAATGGTTGTGAAAAAGCTGAGTAAATGCCCTTCAAAACTATTTTGCTAGCTTCAGCTTGTAGCTGTATCTGCAGCTTTTATTCAGCTACTTTACAGCGCAACGCTGGAAAAGTTGGCTTATAAAGCGGAAAATGTTAGTTGAGAAGAGTTCCTGAAAAAATAACGCATTCTACCATTCATCAAACGCACGAAGGCCCTGTAAAGTTTTGCCAATATTTGGCTATCTGCCACTACAGTCGAGAGACACTTCATGTGCACCGTAACAACAGGGATTTCACCTATTTGCCCTCAATTTCACGCAAACGAGAAATACTGGGCAATTGTTAAGCTGAAGTTGAAAAAGACTGGAAAAGTGACTCGGTATCCTGCGTAAATGAAGAGATGGAGGAATAAAATGGCCGCTCAAGTTGACGAACAGAGCGTCCAAAAGATGATGCGAAGTATTTCAAGAAAAGCTCGTCATTTCATCAAAACCAAATCGTAATATGACTGTTGATATTTTTTCCTGAAATTGCAATAAAAACCTTCATTTTGACTGCTTATCTGTTCTATTTCATCAAAACAATCCTAAGATAGAGCTGAATTCTTGTGTCCAGATCGAGTTTTAAACAAACAAAATTGCTTTAATTATTTTGAGAAAAAAATTAAAACAAATTACAAAACCCAATGGTTAAATGACCTTATTAAATTTAAGACTTTTTTTTTTAATAAATAAAAAAAAAATTAAACTTTTATAGCGTTTAAAACTGTGGATACTTGATTACTGCTAAAAATTGTATAACAAGAACTCTTGGTATTTTTTTTTTTATTTCAACTTGCGATCGTTATAAAGTGGGAATACCCGCAGGGAAGCCGTTGTCGCGTAGAAATAAATGTCGAAAATCAACGTGTTCTTTATATTTCTGATGGTTATCATATGAGATGACGTTATGGCTGCCTTTAATGTCCACCGCTTTAATGTTCACTGAGAGACCACCGCTTTATCTCAGCTGTCCCTCAACTAACTGTTCTGCATTGTTGGAGATACTTAACGTTAAATATCATACCTAAAGTGTAAATTTTATACGATCGATGAGAAACTAATTGAACTAGTTTTTTGTATGTGATTAGTGTTAACCATAAAGTAGTCAAGTACAGAAAATCAGCTCGATTGCACTTTAACTAATAATGTTTGTATAACTTCATGCGTGCAGTCAACGATTTACATAGTTTGAGATGCTTAACGTCAAACGTTAACATGGTCGTGTTATATGATAGAAAAGGAGCTGAAAGTAAAAAGTGGATAGTTCCGTTAGAGTACGGCAGTGTGTCAATTGTATATAGATCATTTTGAAGATGGTACGAATTGGGCTGATCATCTCCTTTACCAAACTCCCCCGTTGGGGAGGGATGTTGAGGGATATCGATTTGCTCACGTATCTTCGATGTGCGGAAACTTTCAGGGGAGTTTAGTAAAGGAGATGATCAATCCGATTCGTACCTTCCTCAAAATTAACCTTTGCTCGCTTTCTACTCTTTTTATTTAATTTTCACACTGCCGTAATCTATCTACTCTATGCTTCCATCTCCTCAACATGAGTAGTTAAAGTGCAATGAAGTTGATTTTCTGAACTTGACTATTTTATGGTTAACACTAATCACATTAAAAAAATCAGCTCGATTAGTTGCTAGCTGAGAAATAAAAGAGCGTGTACAGCACCACTCACCGCGCTTTTAAGGGGATTTGTGTAAGTGCTAACACATTTTCCCAGTCCAAGCAATAAATAGAGCTTTTGTCATGCTGCAAGATTGCATCGCAAACATTAAGCAAAATTCATAAAAACTGTGCTGGACGCTCTATGGGTAATCCATTCGTAACGAAGCTATTCCAATTCAATGAAAATTATAGCTCTGTTCAATAATTAAAACCGAAAACCTGGCATCACTGCTTCTCACCGAGGGAACTTCCTTGCCATCGTCGTCCCATTGCCCAGCGCTAACAAGTGGCAGCGGTGGCTGGTGCACAGGCTGCAATCGCGAAAATTTATTGTAATTCATTTTTTGTGCAGTCCCATTCAATTGTATTTATTTTTATTTACTTTTCTGGTGCAAGAGCTATTTATTTTCGCAAACTGCTGTTGCTGTTCCACTTTTGCCAAGCAAAGGCTTTTATTTTTTCAACCACTTTTCCCATTCTCTCCGCAAACCGGAGGACACACGGGAAACGGTCCCTTTTCCGGTTCGGCCCAGATTGCAGGACCACCATATGTTTGAAGAAAAAACAAAAACAAAACCAGCGCGGAATGAAAACAGCTCATAAAATGCAGCACTCGACCAAGTGGGTGCCGACGACGACGGCGACGACGACCGATGGTTCCAGTTTTCTCCAATGATGGGTAATAAAAAGTTAAAAATTGGTCGCACAATTGTTCGGAATTACTTCGCTGGGGCTCCTGGGAAAGGAGAAAAAAAAACTCTCACCGATAAATTATTTTCTTTATAGAGTTACGATTTTCGCTGTTGGTGTATTTTTTTTCCTTCTTCGTAATTTTGGCAAAGCGACTTCATCAATTTCGGTCCACACGCCGGTCGTTACAGCATCAACGCGATGAAACTTTTCCTTCGGAATTCTTCTTCCATCCGTAAAATTAATCGTATTTTCTGTGTAGGACTCGTTTTCCTTTCCCGTCCGAAATTCGCTTTCGGAACCCAAGTCAAACAGTGTTATCGTAATTTTCTCGCTCGCTTAACGTTTCTATTTTTTCTTCGTTTGCTTTTCACTCTCGTATTTTCAGTTGAAGTCACTTCCGTCAGAGCTTAAATTTTCCCTCCACGATGTGATTACAGCTTCATTGAATTTTACCCCGGCGCTTCTGATCTGCTGGTCCTGCCGTCTTCGAGGCTCGGGCATCAGACGGTGCAATTCAGTGCCAGTGTCACTTGGCCGGATGGGAAATAATTTGGCACAATTTTCGCCATCTTTATCAGCAGTTTAAATGCATTAACCTGAAAAATAGGGGAGAGAAAAGGACATGAATGACTGGAGCAAGCAAATGGCATTAATGGTAGAAAAGATGATTTTTTTTTCATTTTGCTGTTGGAGGTAAAACATGGGCAGCGTGGTAGTGAGAATTGGACGTTTCATTACGCGGTTGTTTTATCTGGAATATTCAATCATAAAAAAAAACTGTTTCCGACAATTTTATTAACGGTAAGAAAAGAATAATGATAGCTAATAACTTAAAATAGTTCTTTGTGGTCAGCAAATGTTCAACGGTAATCAAGAACATGATAATTCAGGATAGCTGTGAAGATTGTGAAGCTTGCTACGGTGGGCTGGATATATAGCACATATGCCGGAAAATAAAGGGGTAAACGGTTCAAAACCCACATCCCTTGTACTTCTCGCTACGTCCTTGATCGCTCCTGAATAAATCGTGCAAATCGAACCGAAACCGACGAGGTGGAAAAGAAAGATTGTCTGCAGACTGAACAGTCGGCAAGGTTATCGATTCTGTTTGATTTATTCTCCAGCTCGACGCTCTGGAATTCATGCTGCAAATTCTGCTGAACAGTCGCTCCCTTTGAATGGGAAATTGATAATGCCAAAAGCGAAAAATGCAATTAAATGCCATTCCTCCGACAGCATTGTTTAACTTTTCAAATCAAAAATTGGGATGATTTATGTCGTCTTTAGTTACACTCATTGAGCCACATCCAATTGCACACTTGTCACGGGTCGGAAGTGCTTCTGAAATGTCCTGAAAGAAAATCACTTGATTGATAGGTCTCATTCTTTTCCTGCACGCTTTCCGCTTAAAAGTGCCTAATTTATCATCACATCATGCATCAATCAACTTCCTCGTTGCCCTACCGCTTCCGAATGGGTGCTTAGAAAAACACACATTATTCTTTTAAAACCAACATTTGCCACAATTACCCCTCGGAGAGACACGTGCCTTCTCTTCGAGTGGCACGTGCTGCTCCTGGTATAACACTTTGAAGAGCCTTTTCATTCCATTCCAGACTCCTTCAACAGGCTCGGTAGTTTGACCCTGCTATCCCGTCCTCCTGGAGCCATGCAGAGAGGCACTGATGCGCGATGGGGCTGCTGCTGCACTATAACAGTTTCAAGTGTTTACAAAACAGTGTTGCAGAAGTGTGGCTTTTGTATTTATATGTTGGTAGGTACCTGCAACTACCACGGTAGAACGCCTTTGTGCCTGTGCCAGTGCAATGGAATCCATGCATGGTGCCAGGATAAGAGAATTCGGAGCGAAAGAACATGAATTCATTATTCATAACTTGCTTGTTCGGGTTCTGGCGCAAGTGAATGCAGAGAGGTTCTTCCGTATGCTGGGGTTGCAGTAGTTTCTTTTTCCGCAATCCAAGGCAGGATGCAAATGAGCACCGTTGAAAATGTTGAAATTTGAAATCTTGTAGTTTGTGCCAAATCGAACAAGAAATGGTTTCTTTATCTTGTAAAAATCTGAATTTTCGGTCAAATTACAAATTACACAGAAATGGGAATGTGATAAAATTATGATTGCACACTTAAAAATATCTAATTTTACAAGAGACGTAAACCACATTGGACGTAAACAAACATTTCATGTAAAAATAAGTGTTCTCAAAACGAAACATAGGCAAGTCGACGAAGAGAACGTCGAATTGTGAATTGATTTTCTCGTTTCTTTCAACTGATTCTTATGTCAAAAGGGCCACTTACATGTGTCGGTCTCAGGGAACCAAAATTTACATGACTTTTTCGTACCGTAAAACGGGGTAACATTGATAGTTTTTTAAAGTTTATTCTAAATAATATTTACAGAAAGGAATGTTTTTCAAATTTTATATTTTTAAAACAAGTATTGAGGATCCAAGAGTCAGTTGGTCAGTAATATGTTTAAAGGAAATTAAAGCATTTGTACTATTTTTTTTAGTTTTGTGACCGAACTTTAGTTTTTTTTTGATTTGGGGTTACTTTGATAATGCTCGATGAATGTAGAAAAATATGGTTGAAACTCGAACTATTTAGTTCTTTCAATATGAAACTTTGAATGGTAATATAATCAGAAAACATTATAAGCAATCCCAAGCAACATTACTAGTTTTATCGAGGTTTTAAAGCATTCTGCAAGTCTAAATCATTGTCTTCAGAACCCTCATAAAACCAGAAATTTTACTTGGGATAAGAATACCACATTGAATTTGTGATGGCTATATCGGAAATACATTTCATAAGTGATGGTTTGAGTGCTTTTTCAAACAGCCGAAAAACACGAAAATTGTTTTTTAATATGTTTGTAAAATATGTAACACATACTATATAAAATCTGTATACAATATCAACGAAAATACCCTAAGCTACAATATGGAACCAATGCTTCTAATTTGGAAAAAGCGCAACAAGTAAATTTAATCTTTACATTATACTATCAAAGTTACCCGCATTATCAAAGATATCCCGTTTTACGGTATCGGTACGGCCAGCCTCGCAGTCTGCAAAGGGTCCGCAGGTCGCCTTCAACTTGGTCGATCCACCTTGCCCCAACCTCCACCCCTCTTCTTCTTGTTCCTGTTGGGTCGCTTTCTAGAACCATTTTCACTGGGTCGTCGTGCGGTATTCTTACGATGTGCCCAGCCCACCGTGGTTCTCCCAGCAGCTGGTGCAATTCGTGGTTCATTCGCCTCCTCCACGTTTCATCATCCATCTGCACTCCACCGTAGATGGTACGCAACACCTTCCGTTCGAAAACACCACGAGCATACTCCAGGTCTCGTGGCCGTACAGGACCACCGGTCTAATCAGCGTCTTGTAGACAGTCAACTTCGTGCAGCGGCGAATTTTATTCGACCGGAGCGTCCTTTAGAGTCCCAAGGCAGCATGATTCCCTGCCATAATGCTTCTTTTAATTTCTCTGCTGATATCAATTTCGGCGGTCACCAGTGAGCCCAAATACACGAACTCATCGACCACATCGATTTCGTCACCATCAATCTGAACTCGGGGTGGGAGGCTAACATTATCTTCCCTAGAACCTCTTCCATTCATGTATTTTGTCTTTGATGCGTTGATGGTACGTCCAATCCACCTAGCTTCAGCTTTCAGCCTGATGTAAGTTTCCGCCATCGCCTCAAAGTTCCGTGCCATGATGTCGATGTCATCGACGAAGCCAATAAGCTGGATGGACTTCCTGAAGATCGTGCCACTCGTGTCTATTCCAGCTCTTCTGATCATACCTTCTAACGCGATGTTGAATAACTTTTTCGTAGTGTGTGTATCTAATCTAGATAGAGCTGTAATTATGCCGTAAAAGCATTTGTAAACAATGACTTCTTTCGATGATTTCTAGAAAATCAAGGTTCACCAACGCAGATCAACATCATCATCGGGTAGGGAAAGACTTCCCCTACCCGTCGGTTATGTTGGTTTGCGTGGACGTGTCTTGAATTCCTAGAAATCATCAAGAGAAGTCATTGTTTATAAAATCTGTTACGCTTTAATTTCACCTCCATCTTGTAATAGAGTTTATCCTGTTATTTAAATACTAATCTATTAGAGCAGTGGTGACCAAGTTTATGGATGTTTGGGGATTAGAATTGACCTTTTTCTTTGGATATATAGTTATAACGTCGTTCGTTTAGTGCAAATTACTTAACGATCTTAAACAAAAACTAAACCCCTGGATAGAAACATTGACGATGATAACACTAGTCACAATTTTGGTTTTATAAGGGTTCTGTAAACCATGACATGCTTTAAACCTCGATAAAACTTGCAATGCTACTTGGAAACACTGTTAGCAGCACTTTTTAAGGAGACTGAAAACGCGTTTCAAAATGATTAATCTTTAAAAATCTTTAAACTTCCGCGAAAGTCTAGACTTTTCTGAAATTTTTGAAGCATCTTTGAATTTATTGGAATTGTTCTTAAGATGTCCAAACTTCAATTAAGTTCTCTAAACGTCCTAGAATTTCTTAGAAATATTGAAGCTCTTACAATTTTTCTGACCTTTCTATATTTCTTGATAAACTCATGAAAGCTCCTTCAAAACCTCTAACTCCATGAGCTTCTCTGGACATGCCTAAAATTTCCATTCTTTCATGAAGTTCCCTAGAACAGAAACTTCTCTTACGTTCCAACAAACTTCTTGATAGGGTAAATGCAGGTAATGTCGGCCTAAGTGTTCATAATTTGGGCCCATACATAAATTCAGCAATCGACTAAATTTTCAATAGCAACCAAAAATATGCACTTCTGTAAAGCTCCGAAATATTTCGGATGCTTTATTGACTTTTCAAGAATTTTATGAACCTTTGTAAAATTTTCCTGAAGCTCATCGTGCTTTCTAAATATTATAGAAACAAACCATCGGAGATTTCCCAGAGAATCTGAACTTTCCTTAAGATAAAGCCCTGCTAATTAAGAATCTACGATTTCAATCGGATGTATCTCAGCATCTGTTTGGTTAAGAATGAAACATCATTAGAAGAAAATGATGTGTATTTATTGTATTGAAAGATTCAATATGGGTTTTGTTAATTTTATTCCTTTAGAACGAACCTTGGGCTTCCCAAGTAACCAACAAGCCCGTTAATCGCCCTTTTTGGTATATAAGGCTGCTATACGACTGATATAAAGTTCGGAAACCCTATATTTACCTTATATCGCAAAAAAGGTGATTATCGGGTAGTTAGCGGGCTTGGTGGTTACTTGGGTTGATTCTTGCCATCAACTTCTGCACAAGCTGCTGGTCACTGGCTGCTTTTTTTTCCAGTATCTTGCATTGAAATAACATCCTTAGCGATTTTTCCACTTTCCTCCAGTTTAGCTTTGATAATACTCCAATACATTTCGATTGGGCGGAAAAATGGGCAGTTTGGGGGTTCATCTCTATGACGTCTACGTGACGAAAATCGGAGTCTCTGGCCACAGCTGCAGATTCGTGCCAGATCATCAGCTTACCGGCAAACTTGTCCACGAATACAAATTTATATTGGCA